AATCTAAAACTATAAAAAAATAAAAAAATAATCAATTTTCTGTTAGGGGTCCGTTTTGCCCGGCGGTCCATTTTGCCCTACCCTCCCCTATAGAGTATAACGGATACTTGAGTTTGTTCGTTGAAGTATAACGAACACTTTAAAAAAAAAGTTAAAATCGGATGACAACTGTGGTGCAAGGAGTAGTTTTTAGCTGAAAACGTGAAAAATGGCGTTATTGCTCAATGTAGGGGGCAAAACGGTCGGGTCCAAAATTCTTCTTAGTTTGTAATATATCCCTTCATATACCAAAAGTCGTCCAATGCCTCTTCAGGATGTCCCGGGGCCGAATTGCTGATGCTGTAGAACCGCACGTATGAAAAAATCGTATAGAAATTTTCTATACAGATTGCGTATAGAAATGCTATAGGATTTCCGTATATGATATTCGGATATTTCTGTACGAATATTTTCTATACGAATTATTTCAATACATAAATTTTTATATAAATTTTTGTTTTCATACGAACGATATCTAAACGCTTCAGAGAAAAACGTAGGGAAATGTCGCAACTCGATACGAAATGTTTCTATACATTTGGCAGTGGGTCGTTTAGGATCCTATCTATAAAAATTGTATAGAAATAATTTGTATAAACAATATCCGTATAGAAATATCCGAATATCATATACGAAAATCCTATAGAAATTCTATACGCAATCCGTATAGAAAATTTCCATACGATTTTTGCATGCGTGCGGCCAAGCCTCGGCCTAGAATTGGCATGCCAAGTCTTGGCGACCCACTCACGGCCAAACATCCGCTTTGGACTGGCATGCCAAGTCTCGGCGACCACTTCACGGCTAAATGTCGGCTGAACGTCAAATGGCCATTTGTCGAATGCCAAGTCTCGGCCAATAATTGGGTAAACTTCGGAAGCCGAGACTTAATAAGGGTCAAACAGGAAAGACAAATTAACCGATCCCAATGGTCAAACCCTCATTAGCGTCACTGTCCAGCAGGAAAACCGAGCGCAATAATTCAACGGGTCAAACACTCACAAGGGTCACGAGCGTCATTAGGGTCAAATCGGGAGGCTTTTATAAAAGGTCGAATGATCATAGGGGTCGAATGGATCATTCAGGCGTACGTGTAAACAGATGCTAAGGGTCAAACGATCATAAGGTATGTAAGGTTCAAACTCGAGACCGTGATGATGTAATCTTATTATTTATTGATTATAAATAAATAGGCAATTACCATATCTATATTGAGTTTCATAATTAAAGAAACTGAAAGAATCAGATAAGAATACCATATTTCATTCAAGTAGCCGATAAACTTCTCCGTAACTAACAACTCTACGGTGGCCGAGTGGGTAAAACTCCAAATAAAATTTTGTATTTTAGAAATCCCACAAGTTGGTTTTTATTAAAACTTTTCCAACAAAAAACACATTCATAACCACATCATCGCACACGAGTCATCAACTAATTTTACCACCAGTAAATGTAAAGACATCTTACCTCAAAATGTACCAGTAAAATATAAAACAGTAGGTTAAACTTGTTAATTATACAAGTAGGGACTACGCACCAACAAAAGACAATGAACATTTTATATATATATA